CACCCCAACAAGGTTTAGCGGCTGGAGAGGGGCTGGAAACAGAAACCGGGGAGCGTGGGGGGCCGGGGGTGCGGGGGCAGAGGGTCCTGCCCAAAACATGTGCCCGAAGAGGGGATGGGAGAGGTGGGAGAAGGGAAGGTGCTGCCGGGTGCCAAGCCCTGCCTGCACGGCCGTGGGGGGCCAGGCAGCGCTGCCCAGACCCCGGTGACCACTGTGCCCATCGAGCCGTGCCCTGCTCCTTTCCGCCCGGCTGCATCGCCCCATCGCCCCGCTGCATCCCCCAGCGCATCGCCCCGCTGCAGGCGCATCTGCGGTTAGAAACGCAGCAGGAGCCGGCCCAGGGTCCCACTGGGACCCCTGCTCTGCCACCCCCTGCCCCATCCCACGGTGCTCCACCTCGCCGGCATCCCAGCCCTGCCCTCCGCCAGCCCGGTGCCAGGCAGGTTTTGGCAGTGTACGTGTGTCCTTGCGGTCCTCGCTGCAGCAGTTGGCACAGGAGGGACCGGGGGGGAGATGTTAAAAGGGGGGCTGGAGGCGGGCAAGGTGGGATACCGGCCTGGCTTTGCCAGGAGTGCATTGGGCTGGCAGTGAGTCGGCCCCCAGGCTCATCCCAAGTCTTGGGGTGAAGGCGCGGGGGGCGGAGGGGCACCCCAAGGGCGAGGGCCGGAGGCAGCCGACCCCCGGGGAGGAGGGAAGCCGCCCCGCTGCCCGCACGCCAGAGCTGGCACGCTCCCAGCCGGCCAAAACCAGAGCCAGGCACTGCCCCTGCCAGCGTGCCCAGGGGGAGAGGGGGGCACAAAGCACAGAGACACCCCCCCCCACCTCCCCTCCTGGCTGAACCGTGCCTGCTCCAGGGCAGGGTCTGCCCCCAGCCCCATCACCCCGCTGCGAGCCGGGTAGCCGAGGTAGGTTTGAGCCCCCCCCGAACCCTTTTCCCGCAGGAGGAGCGAGGCAGGGAGCAGAGCCGGGGGGCTGGGGGAGAGGGGAAGGGGGGACCCTAGTAAAAACCGGCTGAGAGCCCTAAAGCGGTTACACGGCGCGACACGGACTGAGCTCGGGGCCGAGGCGGGCTCAGAAGAGGAAGGCTTTCTTCTTCAGCTCGTTGCGCTTCCAGAGGGCCAGCTTGCTGAACTCCTCGGGGGGCATCTCGAAGACCCGAAGGAAATCCTCGGGGGAGAGGTGCCGCTGTGGGGGGAGAGAGGAGGGTGATGGGGTGCTGGGTCCCCCCTTCCACACCCCCCCGCCGAGGTTCAGCCCTTACCTCCAGCCTGGTCCTGTCCACGCCGGGCGGCAGCTTCACACGGCCTCGGTTTGTCACCATCAGCATTTCGTAGGGGTAGATCTGCAAGGTGGAGGGGGGGGAGGCTGTAAGACCCTCTCCACAGCCCCCTCCCCCCATCTCTGCCCAAGCCCCCGCAGCCCCCAGCCCCGCTCACCTTTTGCTCCAGCATGCTGGGCAGGGAATTGCCTCTGTCCATGCGCCCACGCTGGCCGTTCTGAGAGGGCAAAGCCTGACATCAGCCGCAACCTCCACCTCCCCAAAGGGCTGCCCTCTCCCACCCAGACTGAAGCCACGGTGAAGGGCTCCAGCCCGGGGACCGGCACACCCACCCTCCCCACCTCCCGCTCTCTCCCCTCTCCTCTGGGACCCATCACAGAGGTGGCCCTGGTGTCTGTGCCCCTCCGTCTCGGCGTACATCATCCTCTCGCTGGGTCTCCGTGCCGGCAGCCAGACAATTGCTTACCTGCAGGCCTGGAAAAGAGAAAAGCAGGGCTCAGCCCTGGGGACCCCCCCACTGTGTCCCTCACCATCCTCTCCCAGGTGATGACAAGCCCCGAGAGGTGATTTTCCACCCTCTGCTGAGCCCAGGCTTGCCCCAACATCCCCCATCCCTGGGGATATCTCCCATCCCTGGGGACATCCCTGCATCACCCGGGACACCCCCACATCCCCCGGGACATCCCCGCATCCCCAGGGTCATTCCCACGCCATGGGCTGATGCTCACCCGGACTGCCCTTATCGTTGCCTGCCGAGCTGAACTCTGCCGACTGCAGCTGCAAGGGGACAGGGGACAGGATCAGAGCGGTGCCACCCCCAGACCCCGGCCGAGGTCGAGTGGCCCTGGCAGCGCGGGGGCAGCTGCCTGCCCACTCACCCGCGTGAGGGTGCTCCTGCCGGAGGCGGGCAGCGAGGAGCTCTTGTAGCTCCCCATGTGCAGAGCTACAAGAGAGCAAGAGATGGTCAGAGGTGCAGGCAGGGCTGCAGGAGCTGGCAGGGGTGCCGGCAGCCGGAGCCACCAGGTGAGGAAGGGATGGGATGCGGGAAGAGCATCCCACGTACATGTGTGAAATGGTGTCCGGTCTGGCAGCGAGCGGGTTTTTCTCCGGATGGGGAGAGATTTCTCCATCTCCTCCTTCAGGATCAGCTTCCCAAGGTTGGAGGTGACCTGGGGGCAAAGGGACATGGGTGAGGGTCAGTGTCAGCACGTCCCCAGCCCCTTGCAGGGTGCCTGCCCGCCCGCTCTGCCCCTCACCTTGCTCAGCTCCTGCCTCTGGAGCTCCCGCAGGTTCTTCATCTCCTCCGTCAGGTCCTCCTCCTCCTCCTCCCCTCTCTTGGAGGCCATCCGCCTCCTCCACTCCGTCTCTGGGGGAAAAGAGGGGACGTTATATCCATCCCCAGCACCCGACGGGGTCTCCGGGGGGGATAAACCCCCTGGTGCAGCCCACCCCCTCACTTGCCCCTGTTCCCCACCTACCCACGACGGCCAGGGACGGGGGGCACGGCCAGTAGTCGGTCTCGATCTTGGCAGGCTGGTTGGGGTCTGGGGGCTGTGCCGCTGGGAACTTGGAGGATTCGATGATCAAGTCTTCTATGAGATGCTTCCCATGGTGGGCGCCGGGATGGTGCTCTGCGGGGCATGGGGGGGTGAGGCAGCGCCCCGGGGTGCCCCATCCCGTGGGACAGACACCCCCGCTCACCTTTCTGCCTGTAGATCGGAGGCTTCTTGTATATGTTGAGCTCTGTTGTGTCAGTCTCTGCAAGGAAAAAGGGGGTTGGAGGCCCGGAATGGGCTCTGGAAAGGTGCTTGCCCGGACCCCCCAGTCTGCGCTGGGGCTCAGGATCAGGCAGCACCGCGGGGTGCCGGTGCCGGGGCGGGCGTACCGGGTCGGTGGAAGTGCTGCACGCTGCTGCGGGACGAGCTGCCGCCCTGGCGAGAGGTGGGCTGCGGAGTGCTGCCGGGGGTCCGGCTCTCCAGCCACTCCCGGATGACCTGCGGGCAAGCGGAGCTGGTGAGCAGCGAGACCCCGACAATTCGGCATCGCCCCCTCCTCCTCGGAGCCCCTGCGTGCATCCCAGAGCTGGAGCAAGAGGTGTCGGTACTCACCTCCGGAGATGGAGGAGGAGAGATGGATTTGGGAGACAGGGAGCGCTGCAGAAGGCAAGAAGCAGTTTATTCCAGCAGCCCCACATCTGCCCTCCAGGACTGCTCTGTCTGGGGGGTTTCCCCCCACCAGCCCCCCAAAATAACCGGGAGAGGCGAGCGGCCCCGAGGCACCCTCACCTCTCGGCTCCGGGGCAGTTCCACGTGCTCCATGAGCGAGTAGGTGAAATGGGGCTCGTAGATCATCAAGTCAGGGCGCTCGATGTCCAGGATCGCTTTGTCCTTGGGGATGGCAGCCAGATCCTTGTAGCCCAGAACCTCGTTGTCCATTTTGGCCTGGAAGGAAGGAAAAGCACCTTCGTTTTTGGGTGCGGAAAGGGAACATTGGGGAACGGGGAGGGCTTCCCTGGGGCTGGCATCCTCTGTGGCCCCTCCGGGTGACGGAGAGGGTTTGGGGAAGCAAACCCCAGCCCATGGATGGAGGGATGTGTCAGGGAGATGTGAGGGACCTCTTACCACGATGCTGGAGGGCGATCCGGGGACGCTGGACCCGCGGGAGGAACAGACGCTCCCAGGGGAGGTCAGTGGTTGCTGGAAGGTAAAGGAGAGATTTTAGCAAACCTCATCCTCATCACAGCCAGCCCAGGAAGGGGCTCGGGGTCATGGTCGGGACCCCGGGACATGGCAGGGGGGCCCGGGGACACCCCTGTGCCCCATGGACCTCAGTGCACCGGGGCAAAATGTCCTTGGGGATGGGGTATTTCTGGATGGGCGCTGGGGTCTCCTTTGCTCCAGCGTTGTGGTTCAGGGCAGGGGACACCCGGGAGGTGACAGTGGCTTGGCCGGGACACGTTGCCACTAGATGGTGCTGCCAGGCTGGGCTGGGAGGAGGAGGAGGAGGAGGAGGAGGAGGAAGGCAGCGCCCTGTTAGCAGCATCCCAGGGTGACTGCCGATGTCCTTGGCCACCAGCCCCTGCACTTTCAGCACCCTGCCCACAGCCCCCAGCACCCTGCCCTATACCCACAGCACCCTGCCTACAACCCCCAGCACCCTGCCCACAGCCCCCAGCACCCTGCCCTATACCCACAGCACCCTGCCTACAGCCCACAGCACCCTGCCCACAGCCCCCAGCACCCTGCCCTATACCCACAGCACCCTGCCTGCAGCCCCCAGCACCCTGCCCACAGCCCACAGCACCCAGCACCCTGTCCACAGCCCCCAGCACTCTGCCCATGCCTCCCCCTTACCTTCTGCAGTCTTTCCATTCAGCTGCGGGCTGGAGGGGCTGTGTCAGTCACAGGGTCCTGCACGGGGAGAGCAGGGGTTTCGGGGTGCTGCCAGGGTGGGCACAGAGCACCCTGAGGTTGGTCCCGGGGCGAGGTGCCCAAGGGCAGCGGGGCTGGGCACAGCCTGGCTTCCCACCACCCTCCATCCATGGAGCTGAGCACGGCAGCCCCCGGCGCACTGGACCCTAACACGGCACGAGGCCAGCACGGCCCTGCTGCCAAATATTCAGGGCTCCGGGTCACCCCCAGCGCAGGGGAGAGGCGCTGGGGAATGCCGGACCCCCACTCACCGCTGCCTCTGTGGCTCCACATCCCTCTGGGTGCTAACGCTGGGCTGGGGCTTGGGTGCTGCCTCTGCAACGGAGAGAAGAGAGGTGACAGTGGCTTGCAGGATGACAACGGGGTGAAGCTCAACCTTGTCCTCCTGCTGTCCCTGCGCCCTGCCCCGCTGCGTGCCGCCCCTGCCCGTGCCGGCTGCCGGCCCCGCTGCCCGGCGGCTGCTGACGAGCGCTGGCAAGCAGAGCAGAGGTAATGAAACCCTTTGTCCACCGGCAGCGAGCGGCCTCGAGAAGGCTCCAGCAGCAGTGGGACGAGCGTGCTGCGCTCAGCCCCTGCCCCGCAGCCCCCGGGCCTGAGCCTTCCCTGTGCTTTAAACCCACAATGCCACACACAAAGGGGAATATTCCCCATTCTCCTCAAAACTTCTCCTTTCAGAGGGGAGGGCATCGGGAAAACCTCGTGCAATCCAGGCAACAACAGCAACAGCAGCGCAGAGCCCTCCAGCCTGGAAGCTCCCCCACCCAGCAGCCTGCGCACAGGGCCAGGGAGATGCCACCGCCTCTGGGGACCCCCAGCCCCACTGCCCCCCAGCCCCATGGCTCCCAGCACGAGCGCAGAGCCCATCCCTGCGGGATGCAGAGATGGAGAAGGACCAGATCTGACAAAGCCCGGAGCATCCTCCAGCTGCCGGCAGCCAGCCCTGCACGAGGTACCGCCCTTGGCTCGCTCTTCCAAGGGTCGAGCCGGGACGAGGAGGCTCTGCCAGGGGCTCCGGGCCTGAGCTGCTCCATGCAGGCATCACCCCTCCTTTGAAACCACCCCACCACAAATAACCCCCGGCTTTGGCACCCCCCCGACCCACTCACACCCACTCCCAGCACCTCCCAGCCCTCCCAAGGGTCTGCAGGACCCGGTGCCAGTGGGACGGGCACCCCCGGATCGGCACCGAGCGCGGTACAAGGCGGCATTGTCCGGGTGAGCAGCGGCCGCCCTGTGCACCCATGAGCTCACACTTTCCAGCGACAGAGCCAGGGCAGCCCCCCGCCTCCGGCTCGCACCCCACGGGGCTGGGGGGCACGGGCGGGCTGGGGACAGGCGGCGGGGACGCGGTGGCACACGGCAGGAAAACAAGCCTGAGCCAGGGGTGCGCAGAGATGTCGCGACGGAGCCAAAGGGCTGGCGAGAGGTGCCAGGGCTGCACAACCAGCTCGGGAATAGTCCCCCCCCCGGGCGGGGGATGCGGGGACACCTTATCTGGCGCAGGCAGGGAGCCACCGCCCCAATGGCAGCCTCTCTCCCCATGGCAACCTCCAATCTACCCGGCAGCCCTCGCTGGCAGGTCCCCCGCACACTCCCTTGCTCGCCGAGATAAGGCCGGCCCGACGCGTGTTTGGGATTTTCCTGGCCAGGAGGGCGAGGGGGAGTGGGGACGGGGGGGTAACGCCATGCCCCCCTCCCAGGGCGATGCTGTGGGTACCCACGGCGCTTCGCCGGAGCGGGGAGAGAAAGGTCCTGGGCAGGGATGCACGGGAAGAGGAAGAGCGATGGAGGGAGGGATGGACAGACGGACAGACCACGTGCCGGCGGGGGCTCTCCGGGCTGCAGGGGTGCCGGCCCCCCCTGCGCAGCACATCCCGGGGGGGCCGTGGGGAGGCTGCTGCTGCAGCGGGAAGAGGCCAGTTCCCTCCTCCCCACCCCGAGGAAATCCGGATTTGACTTTTCGCAGCCGCCAAAGCCATCAGCGCCCGGCACCTGGGCCAGGGGCCAGGCTGCACCAACCCCTTCGCCTGGGGGGGAGCGGGCAGGGACCCCCAGCCTTCCTCCCCTCTCCCTTCTCCTCCTCCTCACTGCCTGCCTTGCCCTTGCCGTCATGCTGGGCAGGGGCACCCTGCCGCTCCCGCAGCTGCCCCGGCTCCCCGCCAGCAGCGGAGGGGGGTGGAACATGGCGGGGTCACAAGTTCCCGAAACAGACGGTTCCCGCCAGCCCTGGGAACGGTGTCCAGTGCTTCCCAGCCCAGTCCGGGCCTCCTCCTCCTCCTCCTCCTCCCGCCACAAATGCCAAACAAACACGGCACAAGAGAGGCACCGAGCATCCTCCCAGCCTTGCGGGGGGAAACCGAGGCACCGCCTCACACGGGGGCCCCACCAGCAACTCGATCGCGGCGGGACCGAGCCGGCGGGGAGCACGTGGGTCCCCGACCCGCATCTCACCGGTGTCCGGTTCCTCCTTTGTCCTGTTTCTCGCCCTTTCCCTCGCTGCCGGAGCATCACCCAGCAGAGGGGAGCGACCCTTTGGCTATTGACCGTCCATTGCTTCCATGCCGTTGCACCCTGCCAGGCACAGCCCTGCCGAGGGACGCCTCGGTGGCCTTAAAAGCCACCAGCTGCCAGCGCCTGGCCCCTGGGATTTTTCCATCCCCTGGAGCGGAGGGTGCACCCTGCCTGTCTCCCCTCCCACGGACACAGGGCTGCTCCGTGCCTCAGTTTCCCTGGCTGGGGGGGGGATAGCAGCAATCCCCTGGCCCCATCCAGGAGCAGCTGGAGATGAAGGGGGCATTTCCACCTCCTCCGGCTGCTCCGTTCCTCCCATCCGAGGGATCTGGGCCAACCCAGCTGCTTTCCTGGCCACCAGCCCTGGCAGGAGGATCCGAGCCCCCCAGCAAGTTTAGAGTGGGGATGCGTGGCACTCGTCCTAAAGCTCCTGGTTGGGGGGGTCCATCCCCAGCCCCCCTGCCCCGATGGCCACACTGCAGCCCGCTTTGGCAGCGGCTCACGTGGCACGTAATCTGGGATTAAAATGGGATTAGCCTGCTCATCCCGCACGCGGAGGGGCCGGGAGGGACCCGCCGGGGGTGTGTGGGGAGGCCACGTCCCTCCGGGGCTCCTGGCGTGGATCTGGTGATGCCCCCGGTCCCCGAGGAGCCCCCGGCTCTGCTAGCCCCGGGCACCGCCCTGCGGGATGCCCTGCATCGAGCCCCTCGGGGTGGCGGGTCCCTGGGTACCCCGATGCCATGCATGGGGCCACCGCAGAGAGGCACCCACCTGCCAGGACACTGGGCAGTGGGACACGGCCGGGGGCTCCCCAGGGCCGAAGTGGCAGCTGGTGGCCCAGGTCTTTCCGGGAGAGGCTGGGCTTAGCCCTGCCTGACCACTGGCCCCACACGCCCACAGCCAGGAGCCGACCCCCCCCAGGAGATGGCTCCATCCATGGCCAAGAGCTGGGGGGCCAGGCTTTGCACCCCAGTTTCCCTCCCCCCAGGTAGCCCCCTGATGCTCCACGGCAGTGGGGCAATGGGAGTTTGGCCCCTCGGTGCCTTGCCAGTGGGGGTGGATGGGGCCAGAAGGAGCAGGGAGGGGCTCCAAAATCCCGTGCCGAGATCCCGACCGCCACAGCCCCACCACACTGCACACAGGGAGCATCAAACCCCATCACAGCCTGCACCTGGGGGGAGTGGGATGTGGGTGTCCCCCACCAGCAACAGCGCCGAGACCCCACAAACTCACTCCACAAGTCGGGCTGGGAATGGCTGAGCTGCTCTGGCCTCCTCCCTCGGGATACATGGTGCCGATGGCAATGTCCCCAGGGAAGGAGGACAGGGGATGTCCCTGCTCTGCCGGCAGCGGCCGAACCTCACTGGGGGGTGTCCTGGGGGCTGTCCCGGGGGGGTGTGGGGTGGAGTGGGGTGCTGGGAGCGCTGTGAGGGGACACGGGTGGGAGGCCCGGGAGGAGTACCGCTGTCGGCGATGGAGCCCGCGTCCCTGCCTCGTGTCACCGCCCTTCCTGTCCCCGCGGCCCCCCGGCAAGGGCAGCTGGCTTGGCAGTGCCGGCGTGGGGAGGCGGCATGGCCGCAGCCCCTGGAGAAGACGGGGGACAAGATGTGGGGCTGTCCCCAGCCCCCCCACCCCCCGGGACCAGGGGCTACGCAGAGCCAGGGGAGGGGGAGCGGCGGCACCGAAAGGCAACGGGAAAGGAAAGGGTGGCCAATGCCGACCCCGATGAACTGGCCCTCCCCAGACACCCCGGCTGTGTGTTCCCCACCCGCGGCCACCTCCCTTCCCTCTCCCCACCAAGCCACAGCCACACACCTAAGGACGGGGACACCGCATACCTCCAGCTGTGGGGAGCTGCGGGGGGACACCCTCGGCCTCCTCTGCTCGCCTGGCCACCAAATTACCCCACGGGCTGCTGGGCCGGCTGCCCCGGCTGCGGCCGAGCCCCCGCCCGCGCG